CAATTATGAGGGAGGGGGAATCGAATTCCAACCCTTGAGTTGGGATGCACATTACAAGTTGGTTTATGACCGTTGGACCGTGAGGCTCAGGTGGTATTTTTCAATAAGGCTAAACTCATGCTATAGTAGGAATTAGAATAATAAGAAGTTAACCATTCATCTGTGGTTGAAATTTATTCAAATTTATTTTATATTTTATAGTTAAATTGTCTTTTTATTAAAAAAAGTTGTGATAAATTTTAATATTTATAATAAAAAAATAAATGATCAAAATTTTATATATATAATAATATATGTAAAAATTATATGCAATTCAATTTTAATTCATATAATATTATTCTTAATGTTTTAATAAAATAATTATTGAATTAAATATTAAATTCATATAAATTGTATATATCAAATTTTCAATTGATTTGACATGTTTATTTAAGAATGCATAGATAGTATAATTTTATAGTATAATTTTAGTAGAACCATGTTTTACAATTGAGGGTAGAAGAATCATGTTTTGCAATATAGATAAAACATGAACTATCCAAAGAATAACCTTATTCACCGATTTAGATTATACAATTTGAACTACATAACAATTTTTTAATTTTATATGGATCTAAAAATCACTTATGCCCCCTTGAATAAAATTAAATAATAAATATTGTAATTTTTAGATTTTTTAAAATTTAATTCCTATTTCCCTTAGATTTTTCAAATAGTGAAAATGTACTCTTTGGCAGCCCATTCAGTCAGTAAATATTTAAAGTAAATGAAGAAAACAAGCTCAAAGATTTTCCTAGTTACTACCAACGTTTCAAAATTGCTCTCTAATTCTAACCCAATCAAATTATACAACTAGTTTGCCATTCAGCATCTCAAGAAATGATTGTTCGTATATTCTTTTAACATATATATATATATATATATGCTCAAAGACATGCACCCTACAACCCTTCATTGAGCAGTTCCACAAACTTCCTTTGTTGCCGACTAGATCATTCGAAATTAAATTCTAATGTTAATCTTCAATGGCATCTCCTCCTTCAGCCAACTGCCTCTCTTTTTCTTGTTGCTCTGCATAAACAGACGTACAGCAGTTAAAAGGTGGAAACCTCTAAGATTTTAAAACAAGTTACAAACAATCTTGTACTACTCTATTACAATATTAGAAATGATGTCGAATATTGAAGGTTGGAAGAGCTGAAACTGATATGGTCACAAAACTTCTCTGATTTAACTTTTGGATCAAGTTCAAGAGAAAAAAAAAGAGAGAGAGAAATGATAAATATCCAGGCTGTTGCAAGGACTATTCACTTTTAAGAAACTTCAATCTGACATGAGTTAGGATCCGCACTCATTCGGTCACTCTTGTATCTAACAAGTGTTGAAAATTTGTATATGAAGCTAACAGTTCAACTTCCTCTTTCAATGTCAAAAAGTTAGTGGTTCTACTCACAGAAGTAGCTTATCACCCGTTAAACATGTCTCTGTTTGAATGCCAGTGTGGGTGGTTAGGACTTCTGATTATTGAACTTTGGATTTTAAATTCCATAAGTACACAGTATGTTAGTTTATTGGAAGTGTAGGTTAAACTAGTTTTACTATTAATGTAGAGAACAAGCAATAAAACTTTATGAATGCAATAGTAACCACTTACTAATGAGCAGATATTAATATTAAAAAAAAAAAAATTAATAAAAGGGCGTCTAGGTTTAATTGTTCAACTAAAACTTCAATTTTGAAACTCTTTGCTTGTGCTGAAATACAGTTCACTGAAAGGACCTAATCATTTGAGGACATCCCCATTCTAACTTTTATCCTTCAAGCCCTATTTTTCCTTTGATTTATTTTCTGTCTATGCACCTGGAACTGAGGGCTGCTTCTTAACAAATCCTGAATGCTAGAAACCTTATTTTATTACATGCAACAACGATATTCCTAGTACCATTTCAGGAATTATGGAATCAAAATCAGGTTTAGGTTTCATAGTTTGGTTGTTCAGAAGTCTAATAATCATTCAAGTTCAATACATAAAAACTGATAACAGATCTAGCTTTCTTAATCCTATTCTAATGTGGAGGATAATACAGTTCATGATGTGCATTAACATTCCTTTTCTACAGGGTTTGAAATAGTAGTAGTCTAGCATGTCTTGCTGGAATATGATGTTCTTGAAAGCCTAATCAGACACATATCCTAGCCTATACATTGTTAAGAAAGGTGGAAACCACAAACTGTCCTAATGCACACATATGTAAATGCATCTGTCAAAATACAACAATTGCTTACCCATAAGTTTGTACATTGCTTTTTGTGTTCGCCTTTCCAGCTTGTCAAGCTTCTTCTGCACATCCCTTCGCAGATCCCAGTTTGGTTTTTTTGGAGCAATGTTCAGAAAAGGATCCTGGATAGAGACACAAGATTTAGATAAATTGCAATAGAAATTATGATATGGTCAACAGTACAGAAACAGGGGAATGCATGAAATTTTTAATTTGCAGCTCAAGCAAACATGGTACAACTCAAGCTACTGCAGCACCTCTTTCTTTTCTGAAGGTGGAGGTGCTTCTGTAATGGGGTCTTCAAACTTTGGTAGCACTGGAGCAGCAAGTTTGCCTTCCTGAAGTTGCTTATCTTGAGGTACATAATTTCGAAATTTCATACTGGGATTGCTGCAAAACAAACAAAAAATAAAAAAAAGAAAGGAGTTGCATATGACTCATTTTCAAGCTACTAACAATCAAATTGCTTTCTTAAACTGAAGTGCAAGGTGACAAGAAATTTTTAAATACATTGAAGCCAAAAGCAAACTCAAATAGAGTACATAGTCTCACAAACAATCAAACCAGATAGCATGCAATTACATACTCAGTTTCATTTGTTCCGTTGGCACCATTCTCATCAGCTTGAGCAGAATCGTCATCTGGAGTGTTTAACAGTTCCTGAGCAGCTCTCAGAGCCCTCAGCCTCTCCCGACGAGAGGCAGCTGCTAGCTCAATGGAGTCCTCCTCAGCAGCCATGAATTCACCTCTGCCAAGCACAAAAAATTAAAACAGCTAAAAAAATTCAAAAATGGATGTCGCTCGTAAACCTAGCTCTAAAATACAAAAAAAAATCACTTAATGCCATGGAGTCTGTAATGAATGAACAACAATTATTGAATTCAATCTTCAATAATCTGTTTTAACTACTTTCTCTCTCTAAATTGAACTTTGATCTGAACAATAACACTGGCTTCTTCCAAAATTTTTGTTTTCCTACTAAATTCATGTTCGAAAGTGAAACTAGTTTAGGGTTTACCTGAAAAAATCCAGAAATTTATTTTAGTGAAAAATTTTCTCAGCGATCAGGCACCTACAAGCATTTTAAACGGAGAAATTGAGAAATAAACAGAACTTGCAACAGATAAGATTGAGACAAACCTACCTATTGGCGGCCGTAGAGGAATGAACTTTTCAGGCTTTCGCAATCTTCTAGTGCGAAAGTGTGATTC